ATTGTTGTTTGGCGGGTCCGGGCTGGGGATTCGAACCTGCCACCTTAGGTGTACGTGGCTGGCGCCTTAGCCGGTTGAGCTATAGGCGCCGAGCCATGACAGGGGGGTCTTAAATGAAGACTCCTTCAGTCCTGCGCTGGCCTGTGGTCCTCACGGGGCACTGCCGGCCTCCTCACTGACTTTTGAACTCTTACACACAGACGCCTGAGGAACTGGGATACAGACACAGGTCTTGATGCAACAGGGGCATATTCTCAAAATAACTTGGAATGTTGTTCTCCAAATATTTTCAGCTATTTTATATTCAACGCATTGTTTTATGGAGAGAAACAACTGAATGATTTCAAACAGACATTCCTTCTTCCTCTGTTCTTTCTTCCTTTGCTGGGACATGAAATCTCCACAATGCTCTTCTCTCTGCTCAGAGGGTCATGACCAGCCCTCGTGGGTCATGGATGCAGAGAAAGAAGGCATACATGTGAAGTGTAAGCAAATCTTCCCACCTACTTGGGAACCAAATGAATACTCCATCAACTTAGACATTGAGGCATCGTACCTTGGGAGAGTTGAAGGTACACTTGAGTTTCCGGGGCACCCTCTCGTGGGCCATCTCAGTCCACTCAGCAAACATGTCATCACGGTAGGCCAGGGAGACGTCCATGGAAACTTCTGCATTTTCTCCTATAAGAGAAAGAACGCACAATTCAGAAATAGCTTTGGAAAGATACCTTGGAAATAGTTCAAGAAATTCTTACAGGCTCTGCCATAGAAACCAACAGACGAGATGTCCCAGCTCCTGTAGAATTCCAAACCTGAGACCCCAAAGCCATAGGACGAAAGTCTCAGCCGAATGCGCAGGCCCTCCCAGAACCACCCCACCAGAAAGTCAAGGGCTTCCACTCGAACTCCTCCAGACATGGGGGACTCACTCCTTCTCAGGCAGCTCAAGTGGCCAGGTTCTAACACATGGTCACAACTTCTCCTGTAACTTACACTACACGCCCAGAAAAGGCACATGGAGAATAAGGCTCTTCCTGCTTCCACAAAAAGTGTCTCTGGTGCTTGAGAACCAGACCTCCTGGCTGTGCTGTTTCTCCTCTCTGATCCACAGGACCACGTCTCTCAACCCCCCTTCAGAGGTGACTCACACCCTTCTCGAACTCTCTGAACACACTCTGGTCTGAAAGTTACTCCCCAAAGTTCTCCAATACAGGATCTGCTACTTCTCTAAAACTCAAACCTCTCCATACAGTAGACAAAGTTAATGTAAGAGGCGTAAGTTTTTCCAAAATTAAAGACTTGTCCACAGATAAGAACATCATAATGAACGTGTCATTGTGTGACTGAGCGCTCACACGTACGTCCCTATCAGTCAGGACCACGCACGAGCTGGACTCACAGAACTCTTCAAAAGATTAGCTTAATGAGCACGGCATTGCTCACTTCATCCGTGTTGTACAGACGAGATGTGGGGCATGTTTGGGAACTGAGAGATCTTAGTGAGGAACAACAACAAAAAGCCAGACTGCAGTTCTAAAGACTGAAGAGTCACCTACCACCAGGGCTATGACAATGGACTCAATTTTAGGCCTAGGCTATATAGTAAGTTCAAAATCTGGGCACCTGAGTTCGCCCATCTGAAAAGTAATACCTGCCTTGGTATTATCCAGGGTGTGATAAGGCTTAAAGAAAGGCCAGATGGTGAAAACACAGCACGTTGCTTAGTGTGCAGTAGGCACTTAATGATGTCTACCGAAGCTGAACACACACAAGTTATAAGCAGAAAAGATAACAACTATGTGAAAAACTAGGGCCTTCTGTCCACTGGTCTAGTGTGTCTTAAAGCTGGTAGATCTCTCATTCTTGGAGGAAACCCAGGAAAAGGAAGAGATGATACCAGGAAGGAGGGTTTGAGGCCAGTTCAAAGTCGAGGACCCTCAGTGAGCAGTGCCCACTGTGCTGTTATCACCAGAGTAGAACCTCCCTAGTCTACTACCTGCCTGCACTGACCACTCCTGACTTTGACCTGATTTTCACAGACTGGACAGGACCCTCATGTGTGTGTCAGCACAGGAGGCCGGGGTTCTCTAGCTGACCACCTCCGTGGGCTGACCAGTTGGCTGTAGTCTTGGGTGGTCAACTTATAGAGGTTCTATGGCATTTAAATCCTCGGTCTCATGTGGGGAATTAGCCACTGTGTTTCTCTCCTCTTCCTTCTGAAATTCCACAAAAGAAGACGGCAAAGAAAAACAAAAGCTATTAAGTCACCAGAGGGAAAAGCTGCAGAGAAGAGCAGACTGGAGATCACAACGGTTGTTTACAGATGAGCAATAGTTGAAGTGAAGTTTCCTGACAGCTGCAGCCTGAACTCCCACGAGGAAATATTCTGGAAATGTGACAGGACCCCGAGCTGCTCAGAATGTGAAAGCACCAGGGGCTGCAGAAGGCAGCGTGAAGCACGGCCCAGACAGTGGGGTCAGGGTCAAGGTGTGCGCACAGAATGGCTGGGCCCTCGGATCCTCCCATCCCTGCACAGTCCCGGGAGAGACTCTGGCCTTGAGGACACCAGGCTGTACAGAGACCCAGGGTTGGACGCTGGGAATTGCAGGAGTCCACAGAAGAAACTGAGCAAAGCCCTGACCTGGCAGCTGCAGCAGAGTCTGTCCATGCCCTTGGCCAGGGACCAGGCTGGCTACCGCTGTTTCCACTTAGTAACCCCAGTGGTCAACAGAAAGAAGGGCCAGAGCTCCCCTCCGGGAGGCAAAGTGTAGGCACCAAGGTACATCCCTTTCCCTTCTGACACTAGGGTTAGGAACCGGGACTTTCAGCTCTGTTGAAGGAGCACTTGGAGAAACACAGGACTCAAGAGTACAAACCTGACAGGTAAGAAAGTATCAGCTCACAGGCCACGAGCCGCACATCCCGTGCCACTCAGAGCCCTTGGGTTCAGAGCAGCAGTGGCCTTGGACACGGGCCCTGGATCTGGGTCCCGCACTTCTAAAGCTCCATCTGGCTCTCTGCCTTACAGCTGTTCCCTTCCCTGCAGGACAGGAAGACCCTCACATGAAGGGGAAGTGCACACCCAAGCCCACCCACACCCCACTTCTAGACCATACTCTAGGAATGTGGGACCCCAGACCACTCTCCTGGACAGCCGTGATCCTGCTTCCAAGGCCTGTGTGGCCTCTTCCCAGCTCTGGTCTCCCAAGAGGAACTAGGCAACCACTTGTGCATCTTGGGTGGTCAGGAGTGGTCAAGAGGCTGCTATGTGAAGGAAGACACGAACAGAGCTTGAGCTTGGAGGTTCAGCTTTCCATACAAGGCACTCAAGGCCCCTCTCTGCATGGAAGGGAGCCAGGGATGGGAGGAAAAGGGGTGGAGAGGCCACACGTCTGGCCAGTCACACTGCAGCACAGAATTCCAAGGCGTCCACAAATCCCAGACTCAAACCTGGCCTTCCAATTCATTACGAAGATGAATTTGCCATAATCAGAGGACAGAATTCACTTGGCTTAACAGTTTGTTGCCTGATTTATTACTGGTAAACACTCAGACACACGGTAGGGGAGAGGGCTTCCCTGGTACTACTGTGCTGTTAGGGCTGGCCTGGCTCAGAGCAGGGGCCGCGGGGAGGGAAGGCCGGGTAGGCTCACCTGCTGGCCTGGCCAAGCTTCAGTACTTATCTCATCTGTTGAGGATCCTCCAAGGAAAAACGTAGTTCAAAATATGGCATTAAACAAAAATTGCAAACACTATTTTAATGTATAATTACTCCATTAAATGGAAGCAGAGAAGCCCTGGAGGCTACTGAGTGCACTGGGCAGTTCCTTTGATGGAGGACCACGTGGAAGTCCAGATGCTCAGTGACTTGCATCAAGCACACCACTGCTTCTCAGCAACATGAGGGAGAGGAGTATTTTCAAACTGCTTTAAAAGACAACCATCTTTTTTGCACTGCTTAAAGCAAACTGGCTAACCTGTCCAGTCACACAGTATGGGTCAGCCTGTCTTTAAGGAGAGCAATGAATGGTCTTCCTCATCAGATGCCAGCACAGGCCAGCACCCTGCCCTTCACCCCCTCACGCCCAACCTAGGAGAAAAGTTATACAAACTGTCCAAGAATACGTGGCCAGTAAGCGGCAGACGGGGACTTCAGCCTCACCCCCCATCACTCTAAAGCCCCACTATTCTCTACTAACTTTTTTGGTAGAAAACAGTGGAATTCAAAATAAATAGACCAGCTGAATCAAGCAGGTTTTGTGAAAATTAGCCACTCAACTCGGGCCCAACACCCTTCCAAGCTTTCTAAAAGGTAGACACGTGCTGTGTTTCTAAAAGGCTGCAAGTGTGGCTCATGATAATACCTGGAGTTCTCTCATCTGAGCTTTGAGCAGAACTGCTGAAATCAATACAGCATGATTTCATAAATCTGACCAGAGAAGCATGGTGAGGGTTAAAACTAGGCTGCAATCTGGGAGCTTGGGGCTTCTGTCATGCTTCTTCCCAACTATACATGGGGTCACAGACAGGTGGGGTCACAGACAGGCTGGGTGGCCGGGCAGCCGCCCTGGCTGAAGGAGGCAGCCGCTAGGAGCCCCAGTCTGAGCACAGGTGCATCTTACAAGATCTTTTCTTTTCTTTTCAAGAGAAGCCAGAAATTCCAGTTTTTCTAAAACATCTCCCAGTTTTTAAATGTCAATAACAAATTCATGAAAAACAAAACTGACATCTCTGCACAGGTGAGCTAGTAAACGTCGGGACACCTGCCACCCTGGCTCTGCCGAAGAGACTCCAATCTCTTCACCACCATTCCTGCCCTTCCGCTTCCCATCAAGTAAAGTCCTTCCTGAAGCAGAAAGTTAGTGGTTGTTAATTACACAGCACCTCTGTCTGTCCTCGCATCACCTGAGGCAGAGGCGTCAGAGGCGTCATCCCTGTGGGTACGAGGTGGAGAAGGTCGCGCCCAGAAAGCCAACCCCTAGAAACCCCAGCCCAGCTTCCCCAGCTTCCCGGCTCCCGTCACGCAGCATTTCCCCATCTCTCGTGCAGCACATGGAAGACAGGGCCACAGGATGGCTGGTCTGTTCAAGGGACCCTCTTGTCTCCCTCGCTTGACCCCCTACCCTCCCACCATCATGGATGCTCGGGTTCCTTGCCTGTGAGAACAGGACTTACATCCTAGGATTTTGTTATCATTATATTAGTTACTGCATGAAAACCCTTAGGACAGAGCAGGAAAAGGGTGAGCTCTTATTGTAATTTTACCATTTCATTCCCATCACCAGATTTCAGGCACAGGGAGCTTCCCACCATACAACCCTAATCCAAACTTGAGTCACGAAACTCAGAAGGCGCCTTGCAGAGGAACACAGCAAAGCTGTGAGTTGGCCTCTGAATCACTTTTTCTTTTGCTTTCAATGGACCCGGAAATAAAGTTCAGCTTTAATGACTATGTTGTGTTTAATAAAACACTGGTTTCGTGACTCCTGGGATACTGTGTGGGCAACACTTCCTCTCCACCCCTGCCCCCCGGGGATCATGAAGGTGAAGAATCCAGTTTGAACTCCCTGGGAGAGAGGCAGAAAGGCCAGGCTACATTTGGCACTGGAGAACCTTCCCTATAAAAAAGGACACTGGTAATACTCGTTCCATGGGGCACAGAGGCAAGGTACAAGCATAAG